GTTGGAGGTGCCCAGTTGGGCGCACAAGTGATGACCTCATTTTTAAAGATTGAAAGTTGTACCTGTAAAGGTTGAAACCAACCAGCGAACGATTTCTAGGCACATAACTGCCCCCGAATCCCAACCCTAAACTCATAACAAAACAAAATTAACTGCTGCAATCTACTCCAATAGCATCATTCTTACCTTTGATAGAAATTTCACTGTTGAACACAATTTCTCTGCAGGAAACGGAACTTGCCCGATCCAGATTATCGAGTGGACAGCGAAAGAGTCTACCAGGCACAGTTATAGTTTCACCATTATCATCTTCAACTGTTGTTGTTCAAATCTGGTGATTGCTACTCTTTCAGTTATTCTTTATATTGTTTGTACCAACTGTCAAGATGGCCACTCAAGACGTCTCTGCGATGACCATCGCCGAGGAGAATATGCTGCTCAAAAAGGTTTTGGCGGAAAAGGACGATGAAATCAACGAGCTTAGATCGCAAGTGGACAGGTACAAATCAGTCCTTCAGATGTACGATGGATACCTCTCTCCGGGGGCAGGCATCACCGATCTGAAGATGAAACCCCGCAAAACCCGTCTGATGGGCATCTCAGCTGAGCCCGAGTCGTCGCTCACCTACGAGGAGCTCCTGCAGACCAAATTCGCCGACTACGCAAAGACCGACTAGTATGTACAGCACTTTCTTTTCATTTCATTATTTTGCACTATCTCTCGCTTGCCAAGAACAGGGTATTTTTTAGGTACTTTCACGCCTATAGACAAGAATCCTCAATCTATCACTTTCCCCCTTCAGACTGATAGTAATCGAGTCCAAGTTATTTTGTCCTTTTCAATCGAGCTAATATCATCATTATTTGAATTAGCTAAATGTCAATTTGTTTATTTAGCCTTCATTAGCTTTATGAGAGCTGTTTTTTTAATGACTTTGACATTTAAAATCCAATCTGCTTGAAGTTTGTTGTCCTGTCTGTTGAACCGAGACGAGGGCGCACGTACAAAGTGGACAACTATAACCGGGGGAAACTTTTTTGTTAAACTTGTTGCCCCACTCTCTTGTCGAAGTATATTGCTTCATTCATTTATGATCACTAGTAATTAACTCAATCAACTGCACCCCCAAATTAACATGGTTTCTCATTCTGACAGCTCTCGAAGCGTCATCAAGAATGCCATTCTCGACAATGACTTTATGAAGAAGCTGGAGCAGTTTCAAATTGACGAGATCACCAACTGCATGTACCCGGTGGAATACGCCAAGGTAAGAAAGAAACAGAGAGTCCAATTGCAGTGCACTTTCACTTTAATTTCACTTTAATTTCACTTTAATTTCCCAAGGACCTGTACATCATCAAAGAGGGCGACATTGGCTCGGCACTGTACGTCATCGAGGAAGGTACTCTGGAGGTGAGCAAGCAGAACAACAAGTTCTTCTCAAAGATGGGCCCGCAGAAGATGTTTGGCGAACTGGCCATTCTCTACAACTGCACCCGAACTGCCACTGTCAAAGGTGGGGCGATGGCTTCTGCTCAACTCATACTTAACTAACAACTTTTCTCCTTCTCTTCTTCTACCAGCTCTGACCGACTGCAAGCTGTGGGCCATTGAGCGACAATGCTTCCGAACCATCATGATACGGTTCGGACTGATGAAGCAAAAGGAGCACATAAAGTTCCTTAAAACTGTGCCGTCTTTCAGTAAGCTCAACGACGAAGTCATTTTCAAAATTGCCAATGTTCTTGAAGAAGTAATGTGCCACTTGCTGTGCATCATTCAGCGTATTCAATCCCTCCCTGATGACCACTTTCTCTGTAGCACATTTACCACCACGGCGACTACATTATTCGCCAGGGTGAAAAGGGTGATACGTTCTTCATTATCGTCAGCGGTTCCGTCAGGGTGACCATCAATGAGGGTGACTCGAGTGCATTTGCTGCCAATAACAACAACAACAACAACAACAACAACAACAACAACAGCATCATCAACAACAACATGCACCCCTCCAAAAGTCAGGGAAAGCTGATTTGCACGCAGACCAAGGGTGAATTCTTTGGTGAGCGTGCCCTGCAGGGAGAGGAAACTCGCTCCGCAAACATCATCGCCGAGTCGCCAATAGTCACCTGTCTCGTCACTGACCGAGAGTATCACCTGCATCACTTTCTGTACTGTTGCACACTCATCATTCATGTTTCCCCCTCCCCATCTTTCCTTTGCAGTTCATTCAAGCAGCTCATTAGCAACTTGGACGACGTCAAGACGAAGCGGTACGACCAGGACATTACCGAGAGAAAAATGTAAATGTTTGAGTGTGAGGGCTTTTCCGTTTCCTCTTTTCCCCCTTAACATTCTGACCACAACATCCTTTCTCTAACATAACTAACACTAAACATCTAACTCTCTCTCTCTAACATTCTATGTCATCTGCTACCTACAAAAAGGCTCTGCTTACTATGCTTTATCGAGGTAAAAGTGGCACTTTTGTTTCTTTTTCCTCTTGTTCTCTAGCGGCTTGGTTTCGCTACCACTTGTCCACTAATGATTGTGTGTATGTTTGTAGATTAAACGAACGATTTGCCCACCTGCAACTGAAGGACCTGCGGAAGGAGGCGACACTGGGCGTCGGTGGCTTCGGCCGAGTGG